ATCACCGCACCTGTAAGTTATCACACTCAGAATGTCATGCGGTAAATAAGTGCAGGATTTTATGATTAGGTGGCGCGTTAAAGCTGAGCCCCAAATGCGCTCCCGCTCAGAAGACAAACGCCTCCTTGATAAAAGCGTGCTGACTAAGCACTTCTGCGCTCCCATTCTACAGCATTAGTCACGGCAGTCGAATAGGCGCCTCCTGCTACTTCACTTTATGACAGAATGAAATGACGAACTTTTGTTGGTCTCATCAAACCACAGGGAGGCCATTGAAGCGCTAAACTGGTCATGCCAGACGCTTTTCTCGGCCCGGCCACGAGCTGACTAAGTGCCTCCCAGGGTGCGCAGGGTGGGTACAGATTCTCACATAGTTGACACTCATGCCGACTACCAACTTCAATACGGTCACTCGTGCAGTGCATAAAACCTGCACCTAACGTATAGTAACATCAACACGTAAGTTGGCTACTAACTTCAATACGGTCATCATTACATGTATATTTACCTGAAAGTCGCGTGTCTTATATTAACCTTACACACCAACGATGAAGTCTAGTAAACAGTATTTTTAATACTGTTTTTAAAAAAACTTTATTCTACTTGCTTTTTCTTTGTTGCACTTTTTTGTGATGCCATTCGGTCGGTTCAGGAATCTTCCTGATAGTTTTATTCATGGTAGATTTACCAAAATAAAAATTGAAACTCGAAGAACAAAATTTTACAAATCTTGAATTTATTATTTTCCAGCAACTGATTACGAAAAAATATTCCGAAATTCCAGTTTAAGTTTTACTGATCTTTACTGCATGACTTTTAAATGACATCGTTTCCAGTAAATTGTTCATGTTTAGTTGTTCCCATATGCGCCTCACACATTACTGAAGAACACTGATATATTAATTTAGTGTGAACACCAAAAATTATAGGCATGAGGTGTGTTCCCCATTAAATTTGCTACCAAGACATACCATAATTTGTGTAAATTAATCTAACCGAATCGAGTAGTGAGAGTGCATACAGCACAATTATGTTCATTTTCGTTTTGAACGTCAAAAATTAAGTTCAAACAGTAGTCTAATTGTTATGAAATTGCTTATGTAATAGGTTGAAAAATTCTCTTCGAATGGAAATAACTTCTTCAGTATGACACGCGGTTGCAATTATAAGAAATTATCTCGAAGCGACATAAAATTACGAAGATTGTGTTAAAATCTAAAATAGACTTGATTTTAAACGAGGCTCATAATAGAACTATATTTTTTAGTTTTCACATCAAGATTTCGGAATAGGTAGTATTAAATAATTCAATTAAACAGTTTCAAAATGTTTTCCACTGGTTTGTTATTGAAGATGCAATGCCTAAACGTTGATTACGTTAGTGGCTTACGAAAAAAACAAGAACTGGGAGAGTGGAAGCGACATGATAGCGCAGCCCGCAGTTCGTGACCAAGGATGCAAAATGCGGCGTGCAGTTCGTCAACGTAGAGGCGCTCTGACGAGACTTGCGGGTGGCCAGTCCTCAGTAACGCTTCCTGTCCAATCTTAGCTCTTCTTCATGGGATGACTCCTTAATTAGTTTTTTAACTCGTCATTTAGTTACCCTGTCACTTTAATTAATTACCTATCGCGCTCGTGCTAATCACAACTTGCAAAAAAACGGAAAAGGAAAAAAATGGGTGCCTCCTTCCGTTCTTTCTTAAATTCACGAGCCTGGAGTTACCGTATGATGAAGGTAATGTCTTGGCGAGAAAGAATCAATGTGAACTTGGTTCTTAGAAAGAGTCAACGTGAACTTGATGCTTAGAAAGAGTCAACGTGAACTTGGTGCTTAGAAAGAATCAACGTGAACTTGATGCTTAGAAAGAGTCAACGTGAACTTGCTGCTTAGAAAGAATCAACGTGAACTTGGTGCTTAGAAAGAATCAACGTTAACTTTGTGCTTAGAAAGAATCAACGTGAACTTGGTGCTTAGAAAGAATCAACGTGAACTTTGTGCTTAGAAAGAATCAACGTGAATTTGGTGCTTAAAAAGACTCAACGTGAACTTGGTGCTTAGAATCAACGTGAACTTGGTGCTTAGAAAGAATCAACGTGAACTCCGTGCTTAGAGTCAACGTGAACTCGGTGCTTAGAAAGAGTCAACGTGAACTTGGTGCTTAGCAAGAATCAACGTGAACTTGGTGCTTAGAAAGAATCAACGTGAACTTTGTGCTTAGAGAGAATCAACGTGAACTTGGTGCTTAGAAAGAATCAACGTGAACTTGGTGCTTTTACAAAAATTAACGTGAACTTGGTGCTTAATGTACTGTAACACGAATTTTAAGATCATTCCTTCCTACATATCAGAAACTCTGTTTCTCATGCAATTGCAAACGATTTACGCACTTTATCGTCGCAATAGAATGAGTCAAGTCATCGAGACATTATATTTTAATTATCTTGGTGCAAGTATTCTTTACAGCCTTAGGACCTCCCATTTTAAAGGCTTTTAAGCCTCAATGATCAAGTCTCCCAAGTTTTATCTTAAAAAATCGTCAAAAAATTATCAATGGTATTTGTTGCGGTCATTTGAGTAAGGCGATATCTCCGGGCTTCCAAGTCAAAATCTAACAAAAAATCGTGCGGATACGAGAAAGTTGCTTTAGGCAAATTAATAAATATATTTGCATGGGGAGGGATGCCTACCCTTCTCATGTGCATGGGGTGGGATGCCTACCCTTCTCAGGTGCATGGGGTGGGATGCCTACCCTTCTCAGGTGCATGGGGTGGGATGCCTACCCTTCTCAGGTGCATGAGGTGGGATGCCTACCTTTTTCACATTTTTTACTGAGACGATCCATTTCAGACACAACTGCACGCACTGCTAATTGCCTTTCGATTAGTTACCAGGCAGAAAACTTCCTGATTTTAATTATCGTAAACCAAATCAATATAACAGTAATAATTGATATTGCATATATTCTAAAATAATGAACGCATGAGTATATTTTACTACACTAAATTATGTTGAATAACTGTTCCACCTTCGATTGAATCGAAACATTTCATCTTATTGACATTACTTATCAATATTTTTTATTTTTTTTGCTAAAAATTTTATCGAAATTTTTATCACCGAAATCGCTTTCAGATACCATACAAGATATCGCCAATATTTTCATCATTATATAGCCATCACATTCACCATTCAACACCAGCAAAATCATTTAAAATTGAAAGTGTAGGCGATGAAGCGCAAGTCTATCGATCTCAGCAGCTAGTCGCGGTTGGCCCTCATTTTACAGAAATTAATGAAGAGCTAATGACATTAGAATCAGCTCGCTCCCATTGAGTGTGAGATTAGGTGCCGAGCCAGGCACTCGAGGCGTCATTTTCGATCATTTCTGGGGTTCCTTTATGATGACAGAGGCTCCGGCAGAGAACAAATCGACTTGTAACGATATTGGGAGCGCCGCAAAAAGGCCTGAGCTTCAAATGAACATCAATTTAGGTCTCGTTGACGACGTGACAACCAATCAACGAGCGGCTTCCGTCTTTTGTGTCTGGCGCAGTGCAATTACTGCGCAGGATTGGGCGCTGCTTTTTGTGGCGGAGGCGTCGCGCGCGAGCGGAGGCAGCGTGCCGTCGCTCGACCTAGTGCGCTTATGCCGATATTGATCAAGAATAATTACGAATACAATTCAACAGGAACAGAAGTTGAGAGCGAAATTTTGGTTAAATTTGAATGCACTTACGGGCACGTTTAAAGAATTAGAGTGGCACAACATCTGGAGACAATAGATGGAAATGAATTACATTCGTAGAGTGACCATCATAAACGTATATCACGCGTGCGGGAATTCACGCATTTCCAGACAGATTCGTGACCGCATTTTAATCCGATGCCACTAAACAATCAACCCTTACCCACCCAAAATAATAAGAGGACGGGTATTCACAAGCATTTAATGATCCGAAACAAGCAAAAATGATTCTAACTTAAGCAGAGAACAATAAGGAAATCGTCCCAAGAGATCTTCCGACTTAAGAACTTCCATACTTGTATATGACCCTTGTATACAACATAGGACAATTCCCAATTTAAAGCAAGTTGTATATAGTTCAATGAAAATGATCAAAGATGACCTTACTACCTACCGTTACATTTGTGATATGTCCTTGGATAGTACACGACTATTACCGTGAGCTGATCAACGTTTATAACGTAACAAATTGACCAAAATAGTTTGGAGCAAAATGGAGGAATGTGTCGAAAGTTAATCTCGAATGAAAGTTAGCATTCAAACTGGGAATAGACAGTCGATTTCGCTCCGACATCGTAACAAATAATTAACATACTATTATCATCAACTACTGTGCTCAATAGGTCGAGTCTATGGCAATTATATTTCCACTGAACATAAATCTAGAGTGAAGGCCAGAAACGTTAATTTAACACTTTGACACCGATTGCTTCATCTTGTACTATTATTTAATTTTTTGTACTGTTTTTAAACAGGGTTGCCAGACGGTCATTTTTTCCGGACAAATTCCGTGATTTAGTTTTTCACAATTGCGTTGGCCGTCTAAAATTTATGATAGGGGTACTTCCGAATTAAATTTTAAGTACTGCAAAAAGAAAATAAATGGAATTTTTATAGCGGAACCTACAAATAAACTAGTATATATTGAGATATCGGCCTTTTTAAAAATTCTCGGGTTTGGCCGATTTTAGGCAACCTGAATTATGTACCACTACGTCCTGGAGAAATACATTTTGTGGTACGCATATGTACCACTTCGGAGTCAACGTGTTAAACACAAAAAAGTGTAATCCATACTTGCAATCAATTCGATCAAAATTGAACGATCAAATCCACAACTAGAATGCAAATCCAAGTAAAATAAATTTACATTAATAAGCATAAATCGTTTAAAAAATTTTTCAGACAAAACTTTAATTTTTCGATTAAGAAACGCACTAATTTTTAGGTTTTTTTTTTAAATAACATTCAATGGAATCAATAAAATTTTATTGAAGCAAGCAATAACACAACAACAACATTAAACCAAGCAACAATCCACAGTACTCTTGATAACATAATTAAAACAAATTCTTGATTCGCATTAAGTTCAGGCTACATGAGAATTTTGTGACCTCACAAGTATGGCAACAATAACATTGCATATCATACGACAACAAGCCAATTAACAACTCGACTCTATTCAGTCTCAAATATTCTTCTTTGTAAAGAATCCAAAATATGAATGGTTTCCTCTTCTCGGTAAAATTAAAACAAAATAGATACTCGTGATTTCCAAGGATGAGTTCATCAAAAGATTTTTTAATCGGCAAGCGGTCATTATTTCGATTATATTTCGATTGCTGAACGGATCTCAACATTCAGCGATCAAGTTACTCGCTAAGAGAAACAAAAGCATAATATTATAAGCATACAATGTTCTCGCGGCGCGCATTGCAGAACAAAACATTTAATTTCGACTAAATATATAATAAGATATTAATGGGCTTTTCAGCTAAAAACGTTATAAATGTGCAAAAAACACAGAAAATAAACTCAATACACAATAAACCATAGAAACAAAGTAATAATAAAACAAGGCAGCGTAACACAAAACAATGCTGGCGATCTAAGGATAGATTATAATGTAGCAGAACCTAATGTTGTACATAAAATAATGAATAATAGTATACAGAGTATTGTAGCATATAGTGTATAATAGCATATAGAGTATTGTTGCACATAGCGTAAAATAATGCAAGGAGTATTTTTCCAAATAGTGCATTATAATATACTAGAAAAAACGCCCCTATAACCAAACCCTGAAAACACAAGAAAAGAATGCCCATAAAAAAATATTGCATGCAGATATCCAGTTAAAAAATAGAACAGCAAAAATAGGAAGCTAGTCATCTCTGTTGATAATCATAAGAATAATCAACGCAGGCAGACTTTACGTGGCCACTCAAGGGTAATCGTACAACTTGAGGTGTGAGTAGGTGGCAAGTTTACGAAAAAAAAACTACGCGACTTCAGATATTTTTCTCCAAGTTTACGTCAGGAAGTTATACGTCAGGAAGTTATACGTCAGGAAGTTATACGTCAGGAAGTGAAGCAAATTTTCTGGATCTTAGCTACAGTTTTGATGTCAACAGTTAAAAAAATTCGACAATTTTATCCCAAATATAGAATTTAACCTACTCAATCACAATGCCACTGCAAATTCGCCCGAAGGAAACATGCCCGAAGGAAACATGCCCGAAGAAAATTCACCCGAAACAAACTGATTCAGGATTAGTGATAATACTAAATACAAAAACCTATAGATGCTTGTCCAGTACGAAGCTCTGCCTAGTCAGGTTAAGATGATAGAACCTTCACACAATCATTAGAGGCTGATTCAGTCGCGTTATCAGTGGACTGCACTGTTCGAGTCGTGTAACGTTCGATACAAAAGTTCTTAGACCAGACCTGCGATTGTCTTATTACATGACAATCACAATCAACCAAGTACCCAAACCTCAGGAAAAGTTCAGGAAAAAGTTCTGCTGGCAGCAATGAAGAAGAGCGAGCAGTCATATGCCTGATTAAGGTGTCAAGACACATGAATCATTGCCCTCAAATAATGAAGCCCTTTCCAATTATCACCATTTTTTGTTCATGAAAATTCAATATAACCTTCGAAAGAAAAAATTTGTAATATATTTGCAGAAATGAGCGGATGTGAACATTTAAACATTGGTGTCCTTTGTTGAAGCATTCAGAAAACTCAGTCTTATTTTCAACACAATTTTGCAGCCTCCACTTCTGCTTTAGTCGTCGATGGCCGACCACCTCAAAAACTTTGGAGGAGACCGTTTCTCGAATCTTGCAGTATATTTCAATGCGGACAACACGACGGAACACGCTGGAATCTTGCAGTATTTTTCAGTGCGGACAACACGACGGAACACGCTGGAATCTTGCAGTATTTTTCAGTGCGGACAACACGACGGAACAAGTACCAATTTGAGGCTTGCAGCCTCGATGCGACTACCCGCTCCTGTGACGGCGACGGCGTCTCAGGCTGCAGCGCTAGTCCCGCCTGGCGCGCAGCACACGTCGTCTACGCTGGCGTCGTCTACGCTGGCCCCGCCGCCTCTGCCCCTGACCTTCAGGATTTAGAAAATAAAAATGAATTACGAATACTTCGCATTTGACGGACAGCACATGGAAATTATAACCAGAGTTAAGACGTCTATTTATCACAGAATAGAAAGAATAGCGTTGCAGATAATACGTATTGACGTAAATTCCTGCCTGTTAAAATTGAAGATTACAGCAAACAATTAGAATAATCAAAATTGCATCGTTTACAATTCAGATCGACTTGCAGTACAAGTCAAGCCTCTATTAAACGTGTGTATTTTTCATTTGAAGAAATAACTTGTATTATTTAATATTATTACCTATATTATTTTTACACTACAGAAACTAAAGATGCATGCCAAATAAACTAGCACACGTGCAAAAATATCAATAAAAGACGAGTTACCATACACAACATTCTTCACGACAGGGAGGTGAATATATTGTTTAAATAAATAAAATCGGAAAATCCATTCCGCAAGGTGTACGGATCCTACTTTTTAGGGCGATCCCCGAGCGAATAATGTATTTTCATTCAAAGGTTGTTTTTTCATGTTCAAAAAATAATATTTAAAGTGACCACTTAGTTAAAGATATTTTACTTTATTTTGGTTTTCTATTTCTCCGATAAGCACGTAACATTGAAGAGTGTGTTCGTTCTCAACATTCTCAAGAGTGTGTTCGTTCTCGGCAATTCTCAATGCAACATGCAGAGTTAGGCCCCTTTTAATTAAATTTTTTTAGAGCCTGACCGCGAAACAAACATAATCGGATACAATTGAAAAAAACAATTGAATTGTAAATAAAATACTGCAGTCATTTATGAACCTTGAACCCCTAAGGTTTAATCATTCAGATATAGGCGTCTCTCCTAAAAAAATTCGTTGAATAATTCGAACAAATAAAGTAAACAGATGAATAATTTCGAAATAGAAATCATCCGCTTTCGCACCGCGAAACACTTGCACACGAATTGCAAGGAGTTCAGAGGGACAAACATAAAGCTTGTGATGATGAGAAGATTTGCGTCGCCATTGCCGGTCTCCACCTGAAAATAGCAAAATTACAAGACCACACACTTCCCAAATTCAACACGTGATACCAACCCGATAATATAGGTCTTTTATCGAAAGTTATAACGGGCTAAGATATGAAGAAAGCAAGGAAAGTGGCAACCTACAGCGCCAGAGTGAAGGAAAATCCATACAAACTCGAAAAAAGCTTTCGTATAAAGATGGATGCAGACAAACCTGAACTCGGGAGTAGACGCAGTAAAAATAATTATGCAGTTGAAGGGAGTAAGCGAGGCCGCGGATCACTTGATGCTGGTAATACAAGAGCGTACGGCACAGATTATGTTACGTACTGCAGAAGGTAAATTGTCACACTTGAGCATTAAGAACGTACCTACTACAATAATATAGAAATCTTGTATTTCAGAAAAAAAAGCGTAGCATAAACAGGAAAGAATGCAACAATGAAGAAAACATCGGAAACTTGTACCGATGTTCTGGTGATTTGTTAAGCAAATCTTAACTTGAGCTGAAATTTCGAAGATTAACCGGTTTACTTATAACTCATTGACATACCCAACGAACTACAGTGATTAAGATTCTGGATTTTATGGAAGTACAGCAAGTAAGCGAAGCGGGCCACTGGGCAGGTGACTTTTTTGGTTAATTTTCAAGCTAAGGATTGTTTTCGAATTGTTCAAAAACGTCCATGACGGTAAAAAGAACACCATCTATATTGGTGGTAGATCTCGGGGCTTGCATTTGGTGTAAAAGAAAATCTTTGAATTCCTGCACAAAATGGAGGCGAATAAACTACTGCATGGGCGTTCACATATTAGAATAAGAACATAAACAAGCGAGTTCAATTGAGCAAGCAGAAGCCAATCAAAAGCCTCTCCTTTTCATATTACGGATAGGGAAAAAAATTCAATTGATTGCAAAAAGATCGAATTAGGTTTTAAGTAATCAGCACCAGTAAATGAAAATTTTTCTTAACACACACATGAGCTTAAATCGTTGACACGAAATTAACAATGGTTTTAATAATTTAATTATTGGGTAATATGCCGTGCTGATAAACAATGTCTTCAACCTTCTGTTTCAACATCGTGGCTCCTTCACTCCGGTTAACTCAACATTAGAGAGGAGGATACCAGATGCTTTGTTGATGTTGACAATATTTATGCCATATATAATATATATCTTGAAAACCTATAACACGCATTATGTGAATGTGCAGTAAATAATCAAACGGTGATATTTGGAACCATTCGGGTACCAAGCTACGAAATCCAGCTGCTAAAATTTTAGAAATTCTCATCATTTTGAACTAACTACAGTAGAAAAATATACGACCTTGCTGTAAACCTTCCTCAACTCGGCCAGCTCGCCGGAACACTTCCTAATACTGAAATTTGTACGTACAACAGCTAAGGGCTCGGGACACCACAAGCCGCACTGTTAGCATCGTTGACGCTCCGAGTATGAACATCTTCAAAAACAGACTAGACGAAGCTATGCAGGAGCATATGTTCAGTCTTAAAATGCCTAGCAAATTATATTACGGACCAGGCAATAAGTCCAGCAGCTATCTCAATCAATCGTCAGCTATGGAAAGATCGGGCTCCAAAGGCCGGATCCCTTGTGAATCAAGTCACGAAAAGTTCAAGAATCGGCAACAGGCCATGGGCCTATTTCTTCAGCGCCGACACTTCTATTCTATTCTATTCTATTCTAATTAACAATACTACGGCAATCAATCACAGAGTGCACCAGATATCTGATCAGGTAACCTCGAGTTTGACATCAATTTCTTAGGTGAACAGCAATTTTGAAAATACAACATGTTCAAGAATTTTTCGATTTTTCGAGAAGCTCTCTTCATTGTTCAAGAATTTAGCGACGTGTTCAATATTCTGACGCCATCTTCAGCTCTGACATGTTCAAATAATGGGCAAAACCCTTTGTTTCCCATGTAGAGACATTACATAAAAATATCCGGAATATCAGAATAAAATCTATTCTTTCATTACTTCAAATAGAAATAGTGAGGCACAACTCGGTATGTACATTTTGTTATGGGGCAGTGGAGACGACGAGCTGAGGCCGAGGTTTCGCCGGCCACACAAGAAATCATATAAATTCAGCATTGGAATTTAAAATAACAAGTCTGTAAATGTCGCCAAAGTTCGAGAAAACGCCGATACCTGACGACGACCACACTAATTTCTAATGAGAATCTCGCCAGGTAATTTCAAAAGCATTATTTAAAAATAATCGTACTTGCTTTACTTTATCGGCAAAATCAATACTTTGACAACTATTTGCCTTCAGCAACGTTTCACACATCAATAAGTTTTGAAAAAATTGTACAATCCACTCTAATACAATAATGACAATACAATAAACGAAACCTAATTTGCAACTCTTAATACTCAATTTTATTACGAGGGACCTTGACAACAATATTTAAGGCTATATGAGACTCAATACGAAATATTAACTGCCTTCTCGCAGGGATAATCAAAAAGTGCCTCAATCCTTGTGCTCAACAAACATGGATGCTAAGTTCACACAGAATATGCACGAGATAAAATATAAGATAAATATCTAAACTCGAAATATTGATGCTCATCGAACGCCAAGACACGCATCATAACACATTGTTCAGCGAACATCGAGCTCTGACTCATCATGACTCGCCTAACTCATCATAACCACGCCATCACAAGTAGTATCATAATTAAGTATTCATATAATAACATATATGAGCGTCCAGAGGTCTCTGATAACCATTGAACACTGACCTGCTGAATTGCCACTACCGAAGCAACTTCCACATTAAAGTAACTTTTGATTGTGATTATCTTTCGGCAGTTTTCAAGTCGCTGCATGTAAATGACCGACGCTACCGCAAAGTATAAAATTACAGTGAGATTAAATTCAACACCAATAGTTTCATTATTTAATAAGTAAGATTTTATCTGGAAATTGTTCTTGGCAACGTACGTTTACGCTCACAACGTTCCTGGTGAAGGTTTTCATGATGTGGAGAATCATTTGTGTTGCAGACACAAATAAACTCGAAGGCTTCTCGAAAAGCCTCACTTGAGGCTTTTTAATGGGAACGCGCAAGCCTTATGATGGTTCATGGGTGCTTCTTTGCTTACATTTCCCATATCTTTCCCCATAATATCTTAGCATTAGAACATGTGGAACATAGCCAGTCTCAGTCAAATACTTCTGCCAATATCACAGCTTATAATAGCACTACAGACACGGTCACATTATAACGTCATTATTACGGATTGCAAACAACGATGTCTGAACTAAAATTTTTACAAAAGGTTTTGAGAAAAACAAATGGTGCAAGGACCACAACTGAAGTGAAAGACACAAATATTTCTACGACTATGGACCACTTGATCAAAAAGTTGTTAGATGCGACAATGTTTACTTCAATTTGTAATGCAATAAAGCATGCACTATATGCCAGCTATTTCAAGTTATTATTATTAATTTGCAGCTAAAGAAGTTGAAGAAAAACTGATATTCACAAAGAAACGTCGAAATGTTAAAGCGGTTACGAAGCTCCCTACAAATTCATTAGAGAAACCTTTCCAACTCATTAATTGTAATAAAATTTTATATTTTTCAAAAGAGTTCATGAGGAGGTTCAACTTATCGACGTTTGCGGTGAAGTTCTGCAATAACAGGCGCATAGACAAAATGGGCCCGGTCAAGATGTTTTCCAAAGAGGGAATACAAGAAAATGGCTCAAATGAAGGTGGAGTTGTGTAAAGTATTCGTTCAAGAACCAAGATGATTTTCTAAAATTGAATAACGTAAGAATCAATTTCGACTCATCCCAGAGTCGAGTATCATGAAGTTTACAGCCCTGGGCCTACAGCAGCTGGGCCTATACTGTCAAAAAAAGTTAAGAGATCGTAAGTTTATCAGCCAACCATTGGCGGCCTTTCAAGCAAAATCCACCAATCATAGCCAAGAAAATAGAGCGTAAGGAATTACATTCACTTAGCGAATTTCGAAAGTATGGCCCCCTGGGATTCAGTAAATGGAATCGGAACCAAAAAGCTCCACACACACAAAGCCTCCCACACACAAAAATAGCATCGCGATCGCTGCTTGGCCCATTTGTATTCACTATTCTAGCCTCCCAACGGAATACATTAATTCCAACTTACGATAGATTCCATTGAAGAATTACTCCTGTCTTTGCCCGTCCCTTCCGTATACATAGCAAGAATTTTACGACGAGTTGTTTATCAAAGGTTCATCATGCATTGAGCCTGCCAATATAATGCATAGAAGGGTTAATTTTAATAAGATTATTGACGGACACAAAAACGTTATTGCGAGAGGATCAGATGCATGGCAAGTACAACTTTGAACTAAACTGAAAAAAGATTATTGAACAGTAGCAGAAAATTTTAAACAAGGTTAGTTTGCATTCAATAGCGGCACATAACACAAAGTTACACATAAGTACACAACGAAAATCGTGAACGCTACCTGTACTCAGCCAAAATCAATGTAAAGACATTTATGTGGAATTAAACCGCGTATTTGCATTAAAAAAAATAAAATCTAAAAATAAAAAACGTAACAAATTATCATAATTCAAGTGACAGCAATTATTTCGAACTATTATGACGTCGACATTCCAGCAAGTCACGAGGCCAGGATCTGAGGGGCCAGAATTGAAAGCGCAACTCACGGATTTTTGTACATTTCAATAAACTTCTTGCGACGGATCCTTTGCCTCATGCGGTAGAGGAGGTAGAGCAGGCCCACAGTGAGGGTCGTGATGCTGTATAGGAGCATACACGTACTGATCTCACTCAAGCTGCGAAAAATTGACTCTTTAGACTCGCTCTGAGCATCATCGTCCACGACTTTAACCACGTTGGCATCTCCACCAAACGAAGCGTCAAAATCACGCTGATCAATCAGCAGGCGCGAGTCTTGTGTATTCTTACCCATGTAAACTTTGTCCAGATCTTGCATGCGCGAAGCTCGGGAAATGCCCTTGAGAGACAGAGCGTCCTTGGAATACACTGCATTGAGGTACTGAAGAACCCGCAACGGCCTGAAAGATTCCCTGGATCCTGGCCGGGTCCAGCATTGGGGGCACGATGAGCGAGGCGGGTACTGCACCTTCGGCACCAGAGGGTCTTCAGACTGCGTGCCCGCCGTGCGCTTATTGACTTTATTGTGAGCTTTCCAGAGCCAAAGCACGGCGGCGTCCAAAGACTCGACTGATGCGGCTGCATCCTCAATGTACATCTCTTGGAAATGTTGGGAACATTCAGAACACGAGAAGAAGTACTTCACAAAGCCATGGATGGCTGACAGCGTCTCCAGTGGGTCAGGTGTTGGGTCTCGAGGAACGATGCTTGCGGCGCTAGAAAGCAAAAGATGAAAAGTTGTCCACAGACCACAAGGAAAGCCCCTCAGATGAGGCTGACTGCCCCTACAGCCAATCCAAGCTTGCTGTGGAGGTAACATTCCGTGCTGCTCTGCTCTCTGCATGGCGGCGGAGTATTCGTCATATGTCATCGAATTTTCATACGCCCCGATACTTTTGTTCAAGTCAGAGAGAAAAGCGTGAACCTTTGGTCTAGCAGGAAGATACTTTGTGAGTACAGACAGAAAATTCTTCAAGGCCGCAAGGCGCTCCCCAGATATAATGCGGTGCAAGGCGACCTCCTGACGCAGGGCGATGCCCACTGCATTTTCGACATCCACCAGGAAGATAGTGGGCTTGTCAGAAGAGGGCTTAACAAGACCGTCGTTGACTCCAGCACCTACGCCGGCCTCCCCTTCCCTCATCGCGTTTTCTGAAACAAACAATTCCGTTTAACCAACAGCGGGCAATCAACTAACTACTGGCAGTACTGCTACTACCGCTACCGCCGCCCACGACAAACCACTGTCGCGCAGCTCAAAGGTCCTGACGCAATGTATATGGCACGACTGCCCAATGCGTACTGCCTCGTAAATAGAAGTTATCCAGAGGGTGGTACATTAAAATCCTACACATAAATAATTAAAAAGCACGTAAGTTTGGAACGAATGTTTCCGGTCGTTCACACATACTTCCAAAAAAGCAAGTTGTGCACAACACCCTGGAAAAGCCAGGTACTATTTTATCCACCAGCATTGGGTCAATGGCTGAGTTGACCATGAACTGAGCTTCCCCAATTAACTCTCACAACTTCAGTCCCGAGCAGAACCAAGCAAGATAGATCAATTGTGTACTTATGAAAGTTTGCATATGGGTAACTTAGTTTATTTGTTGAAGCCTTGCAGCGCTAATATATGAAATAATTTCAACAAACCGAGATTCCCAAACATCCGAAGTATGATGCTAAAACATTTGCGAGTGGCACCCACCTTCCACATGGAGTTTTTTGGAAGGCAGTTTCTGCACATCAAGACCCAAAGCCTCAATGACTTCGTCGATGATTTCCTGCAGAGAAGTGAAGTTTTTCTCGATCACACGCGGCTGCTGGGTCCTGTGTACGAGCACCACGACAGGCAAGGCAGACTCCGGCGGTAACTCCATGTCCTTCAAGAAGCCCGCATCACGCTTCATCATTTGCAGAATTATGTCCTGTACAAAAATTAGGCAATGATATAGAAATAATCATAATGCAATCTTCATATCCAGCCAAAAATAACATAAAACGGTTAATATGTACGCACATTTTACTAAAGCCGAAGTTTAAATTAACTGCTAAACATAATCAAGTAAAAAGCAAGGAAGTTTTTTACATCCGCACGCACTGCTGAGGGTCCCTTGAAAAAAAGTGTCGGAGATTCATGAAAATAACATTCTGAGCGATGATCAATTAAATGACTGTCCTCGTAGTTTCCAGTAGTTCTAGCGTCACTCTGAATAACGAGAAGTATTTTTCATGCAAAAATTATGCCTGAAACCAAAATTCAGAAGAAGAAATCGGACCACACTCCGAAGAAGTGTGAATTAGCTAAATGAGAAGCCAAATAAGGGCATTTTGCACTAATCAAAATAGAAGGTTTTCCAAATATATTTCTGTGTATATTTCTGCGTATATTTCGCAAATATTTTTTTTGCGTCACTACTCGTGACGCAATTTACTAAGCTGACCACAACTAATTCAGAATTCTTAACTAATTTTAGTGACAATTTTTGAAGAATAAATGTCATCTGTAAAATCTATAGGTAATCTTTGAAATTATGCATACAAGAAAGCAATCAGTGATTCGATCCATACGAGCTTCATAGAATAAAGATATTGTAGTGCCTTGTTGACCATAGTTTTGAACGATCTAAATCATCAAACAATTTTGATGATTTCACAACATGCACACGCAACAACAAATCATGCACAATTTTACATTGTAACATTAGTGTAGTTTCAAGATTATTTCCTATTTAATCTAAATTCCCACTGGCGAATTCGTTCCCCTTTCCTTTAATTATTCATCAACGGGTTTGTGTGCTGCCGGGTGTGGCCCCAAGTGCACTGTCAAGCATGGGTTTTGCATGCCTTTTAAGCAAGTTAAAGTAGGCTGGTAGATAGTGAAAGCTAAGGTTTGTCTGAAATAGTTCAGCAACGAGCCTATGTACTGCTTGTGTGTTATGTAGGAGTTTCTTAACACAGTCCGTATGTGAAGGTGACAATTTCTGTCATATATTTGTTTGATTTTGTTCAATGTGGTTTGTATTGCTTTAATAAAACCAGCTCTTAAGCTTATAATGCAACTAGGCACTAGAGTGTTACATGCCTTAGCATAAGCTAGTGTTGATGTGGACACAAACTCATCTACATAGCTTTGATTTTGCATGTTGTCTGGTTTATCGGATTCACTGTGCCAGTAAAGGTTGTCTGATCTACCTGATTCTCTAAATTCTCACAGGAGACCAACTAACAGATCTCAAAATCCACACAGGGGATTTCGAGATCTCGCGTTCATACCATCCTGGTATCACTCGTTCTCCTCCTCCACGGAGGGCGATCAGGCTGAAAACTGTTTTTTGCCTATCCTGTGCTCGCTATTTTCGATTTATCAATCAAGTACCAGTAGTAGCAGCCTTTTTATCTCCTGATTGTCTTCTGAAACTCGAAGTTAGCAGAGACTTGAATGAGCTGATTCTAGTGAGCAGATTTTCACACGGCGAGACTGATTTCGTTTAAACTCAAACATAAGGTATTGCAAAGCATAAGGGTTAACGAGTCATAAGTCGATTTGAAACGATTTTAAAACCTAAATTTGTTGACCACTGAATTTTACTTTTTTGCCGTTAGACGGACGCTGTAGTAAGAATTAATGTGCAGAAACTGAGTCCTAATTTCAATTATCAAAAGTATTAAATCCTTACAGTTGCTGAAAGAGAGAGCAAACAATACGTAGTAAAACACCAGACATGATGGTTCACAGTACAGAATAAAATATGTATTAAATCTACACATGCCAACTGACTAAAACGATCCGCTTGGGGCTCTAAGCAATAGAAGTGAATGTGTAAATAAATAAAACAAATCACACTTGCCCATTTCAAACTCGTACCACTAAGCTATAATGCACAAGTATGAATAAAAAATCTTGCCACAATTTTTCAATCTCATGTTTGAAGATCAACCAAACAATAAATCAAAATGGAGCGTTGTCAGATAGAGCTGCTACATAGTGAGCATGCAAGTTAAGAATGAGGAAGTTGAGTTCAGTTTGATCCTCGAAAGGTTAGTTTAGGGTATTACTATTTATCGTATTATTTTTTGGGATATTACACTTTTTTAATATAGGGTATTAGGATTTAGGACATTTTGATTTAGCTTATCATTATTTATAAAGTGATATTCTATAGGTCTTTAGGTCAGGGTAACGTGGGCACACGGCTCACGTTGCGGAAGTGTCCAAGATCCATGATGAGTTGCTGGGCGTATCCTTCCCTTCCTACGAACACCACGCCATCGCTCACGTCCAGCCCAGCGCTGCTCAGCAGCTCCTGCTCGCTGCCCCTGCACAACAACAACATCGTCAAGACGAGGCAAGATATCTTGCCATGCATATGTAGTCATGCAATCCATATGAAATTAACAAAGAATTTGAAATGAGTTAGTTAGTTAGTTTAGTGGCCAAATGTTTACTAGAGCTTCAGCTATTTAGCTATCTCGCACTGAAAGTCAAGATGAACATCACCATAGAGGTGGAAGGTCTCAATAATTCATCACCCACAAGGGGCGGAAGGTCTCAGATGTCCAGCCCGCTGAAGCTGGCTCAAAGGAATTTGAAATGAGTTTCATGATAGAATCATGTACGATTAATAAAATTAAACTGATATGGTTAAATGGAATGGTCCTGGACAACCTTTAAACTTTACACGTCGGTAGTAATTTCAACCAAATGGTTCAGTGCATTGCCGTTGCGAGAAAATGTCACATTCCATAGAGCATTGAATGAAACTGAAATAATTTTTTAGTGGCAAACAAAATATTCCGGATGTTTCGCAATTTGAATACCTAGTGATAGTTTATTAAGCTATTAATTTCAATTCTCTTCAATTACATTCAATCTGTATTTAAGAAAAGAAAGATTTGGAACAAATACCCTTAAAGTGATGAATAGATTGATAAATGGAGAGAAAATAAATCCATTAACATCGCGGAAGTAAACCGATCATGCAATAAAAATTCCAATTCCAGGAAGAAGACTTCATTGAAGGATTCATTTGTCTTTATTGAAGGATTCCCATTTCCATGACAGAAGCAATGTTTTAGTAAAAATAATATGTCTAAAAACAGGGTTTGGAGAAAAGAGTTAGAAGAATAAAATGAATCAGATGAATCAGTCAATGTAGTACTTGCTACAAGTTTGACTGCATCTCATGATAGTTTCCTGGAACATGATCTGGATTTATATTACATTACAATCTAGATCATAATTTTGGTACATTATAGTCTGCTCGTGTTCCACCAGTCACATTTATGTTCAATAAGCTCCCTGCTCTTCGAAGACCTATAAGCCCCCAAGTCTCTCTTTTCATCCGAATTCTTGGACTCACCAGATATACTCAGCCAGCACCAACAAGGGCTCCTCAAACAAAGTCATCACGGCCACTAACATAGTAACCATCACACGCCCAATTCTCTACAACTCGGTCTCAATCTGGTATATCCAATATACCCGTCCCGTTGTCCCTCCCAAGAATGCAAGTCATCCATAACCCAGCCTTGAAGGTATTGCCGACCATGCAGCGATGAACGCTGGGAACAACAGGGTCCTGACTTCCCCACCACCTTTGATAGCGCCCGAAGGAAACCCTGCTCCTTCACCCCTATCACTCAAAAATGGCTCAGGTACGGTAAGGCTTCTGCAGTCACAATGCATACCAATTTTTTAGGCTCTCTGAGTAAGGCCTGCCCAGCACACTCTCTGAGTATGGCCTGCCCAGAGTGCAGTTATCCTCTACACTCTACAGCATATCTTCTCCTGCCCGTCCTCTCCATCCTCTCTCTGGGACAGCCCTCCAAGCTGCGGCCTTTTTAGCCTTCCTCCCATCACTTGCCCACCTTCCTCCTATCTTTGTCGCCCTCCTCTGCTCACCTTTCAAGCCACCTCCTTATCTCACTACGAAATATCAGACTTCAAATTCCAAGCCTATAGGACTCAACACAACAATGTCAACATCCAGACTTTCGGGTCACCTCTAGCAGCAATATTGATTCAGTTGGGATAATTCACTTGCAGCCGCATCAGCGATGAAATCATAAATGAATACTATGGTCAATGACCATGTTCATATATAGGTATTCAATAAAATTACACATTTGAACAGGTGATAATTCTGGCAAGACCTAAAATAGCTAGAAGCACTTACGAGAATGGCTGCAGATTGACCCAGGAGGCAGACCCATTGCCTGCAGCCTGCTGTGCTGCCAGGTACTGAACAAGCCCTGCCCGTAGGCTGGGTACAGTGCGCTCCGTCTGCAGCTGGACACCTACATCACCCTGTATTACATAAGCTCTATTTATACAACAATTACAGTGAGAACAATGTCTGCCTGATGAGCACAAATGCAATTCATCTTGACCAAACACAATTCCAAGTTTATCGAGGTGAAACTTTTAGCATTTAAATTCATTTTATCCTGAATATTTGTGATTTATTTCAATATATATATACCTATATATACCTATATACTCATAACAAATATGATAACACATTTCTGAATTAAACAAAAATATAAAATGGACTTTCTTTGCAAAGTAAGAATGCATGCAACGACTTCAAACACAAAAACTGTGATCAAAATCAAACTACACTGACACTGCACCAAAACATAAACATTCTGGGAATATATACTCTTTATTAAATGTATGACACATCTTGCACTCCTTACTGTTAGCATTGCCATAGTTCAATAGTAAGGAATATCTATCGAATATTATAATTGATAGCACATAATAGCAATGCCATTATGTTCAATAGAAAAGTTCAGTGGTAGGTATGTATAAATATAATTTATGGTGGTGTTCATAAGAGTTCAATTGACATTCTTACCTTGGATAAATTGCGTGGTAGGAATGATAGTGTTGGGTAGCTAAATACTTCGTATTGTCGACACAATCCTGTGTTAGCTTCATCAGCACAGTTCAACACAGCAAGCTTGACAGTGTGATCCCAGTCTTGAAAATAAAAAAGTCTTAAAATTAATAGTTACCAAGATTTTAAGATCAAAAATTAGACAAATTTGTACATCATTTATTGTCATTCTTATACTAAATTCCATCAGACACCTATCTTAGCAGAATCAATCATAATTTAAAACAACATTATTGGTTGTGGCACAATCAAAACACTCATATTCATATTATATATTTCATCTACTTTAAACAAGTAGTGAGAAGGTTAGCTCTATTTGGAAGAAATGACACTTCAAGCAGCTGGTGCTAATACATTCAAGATTGCAGAAAAATAGATATAGGTAATGCATTTAATGGTACTGATAAAAATAACTTTGCAGTTTAAATTTAAAAATGTAAGATTTGAAATTGCCCCATAAAGAACCATTTATCATTATTTTTAGGTTATAACTTGAAAAAGAAAATTTTCAGTCTAAATAATATTCCTTCATTATCATATCATTATTTTCTTATTTAAAATACAAGTAACTACAATTTACAATACATAGGTAAATATTAATGACAAAGTCAATACAGCCAACATTCTAGGAGACTTTGATTTCCTATTGAATGTGTTTATATTAAGTTCATTGAGATGTGATTTGACTGATGGTAGAGCCGAGTCAAGCAAAAGTAACTCAACATTAGTTGGTGGTTTCCAGTGATGCTGTTAAATGGGGGCGTGTTCCATATTTAGCTTGTGGGCAAGTTTCTGAGAGCCTGTCATATTTGCTGTGCAACAGTGCTTTAAGGTAAGCCAAGTTAGTGGATAAAGGGATACAATTGAGTATTATGAAGTATGATATAGAACAATTTTTACTACGTACTTCTCAGGCACTTTGAGGAACAGTTTTGGGAGGCTCAGCCAGGACTAGTGTGGTCATGCAGAGCAGAGGCAGAAGACTTGGTGTATTAAGGACTATTCATTTTGAGTATTTCTGTACAACTTTGACATGAAATTGTTTGTGTGCTGCCGGGTGTGGCCCCAAGTGCACTGTCAAGCATGGGTTTTGCATGCCTTTTAAGCAAGTTAAAGTAGGCTGGTAGATAGTGAAAGCTAAGGTTTGTCTGAAATAGTTCAGCAACGAGCCTATGTACTGCTTGTGTGTTATGTAGGAGTTTCTTAACACAGTCCGTATGTGAAGGTGACAATTTCTGTCATATATATGTTTGGTTTTGTTCAGTGTGGTTTGTATTGCTTTAATAAAACCAGCTCTTAAGCTTATAATGCAACTAGGCACTAGAGTGTTACATGTGTTGGCATAAGCTAGTCTTGATGTGGATATAAACTCATCTACATAGCTTTGATTTTACATGTTGTCTGATGTATCTGAGTCACTATGCATGTAAAGGTTGTAAAGTGTTGTAAAGAGATCTATTACTGAAATTTATTGGATATCTTTGGAGGATAAGGGCTCACTATAGCTATGTGCAAATAATATATATGTACTCTTTAATATTGGCATTGTGTTAACCCTGTTTCAACAGGACAAAATTCATAAAAAAATCTCAAGTAAAATACCAGATTTCATAATAAATTAAGCAGAAAACAAGCAAATTATAATAATTGTTAGTAAATCAACTTGAACACAGAAGCATAGAAGAGAATAAAACTCACCAGAAATGTTCTTGGCAAAAATTTTGAATTGAGGGGCAAAAGCAATGCAGTGTCCACAATAAGAGCTGTAGAACTGCACAAGCCAGGCATGATCCTTGCCCAGCAGGGTCTCATAGAAGTTGTTCAAATCCAATACTGTTACCAAGTCAGTTTCATTGTAAAGAGATTTTGTTGTTCGGTCAGCAGCTAATGGGTTCCCAGCAACATTCACATACCCAACAAATAAAGTAAAGCATAAAATTCCTATTATGCTCATTGCAGTGCAAGAGGAATGTGCCAAAACTCACAATAATTTAAATTTAATGTGAATGTCGAATTAGCAGTTTAAGACAACTTCACCTGAAAAAAAGCATATGAGCTGTAACATATTTAAATTTGTCAGTTAAATCAAACTTCACCTAACAAAAGGCACATGATTTGCAGAATATCAAGGATAACTTTTGGCAACTATAACAAGTCCAAATAAATGGGATTTAGATTTCTATTTGCAAAGGATGCTGAACAGGGAAAACTTGAACTTGCTTGGAATTCAATGTTGAACAATAGCAAAGAAATAATTCAGAATGTAAACAAATTCTCACACAACCATGTCTCATTTGAATAAAATTGTGCAAAAAAAATTTAGAGACATATGGCAATTAAAGATGCCAATAACCTTGCCAGCAACATTAAAGTTGCCTTTCTTCAATAAAAATGCTTAATTTTATAAACAAAACTGAAATGCAACTTTCTTGTGTGATCAAAACAGCTTTGTAGTATCATGCCAGGTGCAGACTTTGCAAATGCATCACCAAGATATGGTTTTTAAACTCAAAACATAGCCAGCAGTATTTGGGATGAGTTGCCACATTACCAAGAAGTATTCAACCATTACTGCATGCAACTCCAGCTCGTTTTGATTGCCCAAATCTGCCAGGACCTATAGTTCACCCATACCAATTACCAATTGTAATACACATACATCTAAGCCAATTTTCATGCATCAGCTATGTCAAACGCAATGTGCATACAACTGTGCCAATAATCCCTCATAGTCATAGCAGCCATAGGGCCCATAGCCCATACTCATAGGCCATGTCAATTGTACGGTAATGCACACTCTCAAGTTCATTTTTGAGTCCTATAAGTAGACCAGCAAAGTATCATGGATACCATCATTATCATACTTAAGAAATTGGTTAAAATCTTGAATAAATGAGGAAATTAAAAATGAACTGATTCTAAAAAATCTCTGGTTTGTCACTATGATGCAGTGATGCACAGACATCTGTGCAGGGACTGTGCCCATCAGGCCGATGATTAGGGTTGCACTGGACACTAGACTCTTGCGTTTGGAACTTTTTTCCAATCGAGACAAGACAAAACGAGAGAGAAACTTAGGAAGCTTTGTCCCGGTTTTTATTGCGAACCGGGACAAAGCTTCCTGTCTCAGCTGTCACTTTTCAGCACTCAGTGGGAATTCTGGGATGATATCATGATATCAAGACAAGACAAGGTCAAGACATCCTGGTTAAAATAGGAGGTTTTAAATTTCCCGGAATTTATATCTTTTATAACCAGACAAGCCACTTAATGATATGATGGGACCTTGGGATGTAGACTTTTTTAGTTTATGACATGTACCTAGAATAACTTGAGACGTATTCAAATCATTGACAATTCCGATAGTGGGTTTGGCAATTAAAATTGTTTTTGCTACATTTCATAATTTTACTGTTTTACACAATATATAGTCAGATGGGGTAAGACAGGACCGAAATCACTAACAAGCCTGTAGCATCCATACCATGAATAACTAAAAACCCTAAACCTATCACAAGGTGTAGTTACGCAATGGGCTTCTAAGCTACAACTCAGATGTTTTGCATCTAATATAGTTTTCTGTATAGATTAAAAAAAGTGAGCTGGTCCCATCTTACCCCATTGGGGTAAGATGGGACCAGGCTGGGGTAAGAAAGGACCAACAGGTAATTCTTATGTAACAAGGTTTTAAATAAAAGTACAAACCTGATATTCAAAATTATCCATCTAGAAACACATTATTTGATTAAACGATCACTTGTTACTGTTTTATGTTGTGGGAAGTCAACTCTAATATCAGTCACATTGAAGTTTTTGTCACGAGAAAACTTTGTTAAGCATTGTAATAGTGGGTTAGCTTTGGTTCATTGTAGAGCACTGCTAAATGCTTCATGTATATACCATTAGTGTCATTGTCTGAAAAATTTATCAAATTGGTTATAAAAATAAAATGTCAGATGTCAGTAATAAAAAGTGTCAGATGTCACGTGGTTTCTAGCTAACTGCATTTGTGGTGCACTTCTTCAAACATAGCTCATGCCCTCTCACAGAGTTGTGATGATAATTCTTTTTAATGTTTCACGCAGTGATTTTTCCCCCAGCCAATCTTGCATATAGTTCTGCAGCTCACTAATGGGAATAGACATCCCTATTTTCTATATCCCTTTGATGCAATTTAAAATAGTGCACTAAATTTCTCTAATTAAAAAAGCTAACAAGTTATAATGAAGTTTGAGTAAAAGATAAAAATTTTGACCAAAATACTCCATGTACTATACAATAATATAGGTATTCATTTAAAAACTATTTTTCATAAACTGTAGGGTAATAAAGGACCATTTGTGGGGTAAGACAGGACCATTTGTGTGGTAAAACAGGATCATTTAGTGGTCCCGTCTTACCCCATGTCCGGTCCTTTTTTTACCCCATTTTGGAATACATGTCAGGCAGTGATGGTAGCAGGTAGGAATGCCTAGTTTGTCTAAAAAGTTGCCTATTACTTGAGGTTACCTGCCTACATCCACAAACCTGGTCAAAAAATTTTTTTGTCATTAGACAGAGCTTATTTCCCAAACAGGGTTAACTATTTTGTGACCCTTCTTTCCATAGGCTTTCTTTAAAAATTAGTCAGAAATTCATTATTTGCAGAAGATGGTTGCCACTGTGCCACAAACACTGAAATGACAGGCAAATTAAGGCAATGATTGTTCTAAAATATTCTTTTGTCAAATTGAATTCAGTGCAATTAGAATGCATGCCATGGGCTGGTCCTTTCTTACCCCATGAAGGCTGCAATCCTGTCTTACCCCATTTGACTATACTTATTCTTGAACAGACAAATACAAAATATGGTGAAGATTTACATATTTTTAATTTTTCCATTTGCAATATTATACCTACTTTAATGCAATTAAAATATTTTTTCCATGATGAAGAGTAAAGAAAAATCTTCAATGATAAAGTCTTATTAAGTCTATAATTTAATTAAGGTTCCACTAGTTAAGGTCCATCAGTTGGAGCAGGATGGAATTCTAATTTCGAAGGTTCATATATTATTTCGATCCACCAAGACCACTTTTTTGATCCAACATCGTTATTTGAGGCAAAAAATGAACTTCTTGAAGGCTTAAAACACGTACGCTAACTTGCTCAGTTTCTATAAAGTACCTAATCACTTGGAAGTTGCAAATCTGCACCTTTCACTCAACAATTAAAATTAGACTTATAAAAAGTATTAGTTAGTTGAAAATTTGTCTCTTAAGTTGACCGCAATGAACTAAACTTCATTAAGTAATCATTAGGCAGAGTTTTTCATCATGCACACTAAACACGCAATTCAGAGTTCAGACGAGCCGAACTTCATAACACGTGAGCTAACGTGCTACTGAATTGAATTGCTTCTTTCCCGCTACTGGTGATCTAGCGGGATGATCAATCGTATACTTAATTCATATACGGTTGTATACGAATTACAAATTAACCAATCTGATCAAACGAACGAAAACTGCTGATCAAACAAATGAAAAGACTTTGAATTCTAATACGGATCGTTAATTTTAATATTGTATTTCCAAAAATAAATTATTGCATTTGTTTTAATTGAAAAACATCTTTTTACATAAAAAACAACGAATTTTTTCTTACAGCTCCTCAGGAATGACGAATGAATGCTCCTCATATTGACAAATGAC